AAATGGTGCGGGTCCTACTTGGAGGAAAGAGTTATTTTTGTGACCCCTGGAAATTTCAAAGCTGATCGAATGGCCGTGACTTGCACTGCAGAACATCACCGACTCTTGGGGTCTGGTTGAAGCGTTCTACGGACCCAGTCCGCTGGGTGGCGCTAATCCGTTTGCTGGTTTCCAAACGTGCTTAAAATAAAGCAAGAAGAAGCAGCAGTGAAATGATGTCATTGATAGTTGAAGTTTGTTTCCTCTGGTTGTTTCGTGATCATCCCTATCTTTTTTTTCTAGACTGTTACTAAAATGTCTTCGGCGACGACAGTAAGTTGTTCAAATACAAACTGTGATTCACTTTATTTATCGAAAAACGACAGTTGAGTTTACCATGTTGTATTTGCTTTTTGTCAACATACGAGCTTGCTGCTTGCATGCCTAATAGAAGACGTATCAATGTATGACGCAAGCAAGTGTAATTAAGAAACTGCATTGCCGTAAATATGCCCCCGATAAACACACATTTTGTTTCATGTCACTTGCGAGGGAGCTTAAGGGTCAATATTTTAGCTGTACATATTTCTTCTTTCTGGCGCTTTGTGCTTTAGTTTGTCTCGAGATTCAGGATTTTTCTGGATACGTAATAGTAATGTAGCCTATACACTTGCCCTGACACAAATCGAGAGAAATTGTTTTTTGTTGCATGAAAAACATATGGAGCAAACATGGTTTTGGCAAAGGTTCACTAAGAATCCAAGCTGTCTTCTTTTTCAATGCATAACGTGCGAAATGAATTTTATAGAGTGCAAACTGTCTTTAATCTACAATTTTAGTCCGTTTAATCTGGAGTCATCTTTTTGACTCATCGTAGTTCTTCATTTAGAGTGGCGTTGACATAGTGTGTTTCAGTTTTCAGGTAAAGACTCACACAAGCATGTAAGGACAAAGACCAACCCAGGATTTTTGCAACGATTAAGTGACACGGCAGGAGGAACGTTTGTTGGCGTTGGACTGTTTTTCCTTTCCATATATATTCTCTTCACCAATGAGGTGAGAATCACACATGGTTGAGAATACCAGATTTGCTTTGGGTGTATCTCAGCGTATTTGTGGTTTGTACGTTTACCAAGCAGCCTGGAGTTGAATGACCAGTCTCCCGGTGTACCCCACCTCTTGCCTAACCTGCTATCCTAATGAGTACAAGCTCGAGGAAATGGATAGATGTGCTTTGCATTATTATGGTAAACACTGTTTCTTCCTCCTTTCAGGGACGGGCTGTGCAGACTGCGTCCTCCCTGAATGAAGGGCTCGCTCAAGTCGTGTCGCTGGACACTTTTGCCAGCCTCGACCCGCAGAACGACAACAGCTTGGTTCATTTGTCTGCACCTTTGCGTCCCTCAAAGGTAGACCTGACTCCATCACTCTTCATTATTATTACTATTAAAACTCCCAACATCAGTTAGGCCAGTCATTCTTACAATGAGGTACAAGTCGAGTATATTAAATGCACTCTAAAATGAATACCTCTCGATCACTTTAAAAAAAAAAAAAAAA